TTCTCAAGAATTCACATGGACACCCTTTCTTTTGAGAAAGGAATAAAAAAGGTCGAAAAGTCAACACAGTACAAACTGTTAACCATGTGGCTCCTCCACCAGGACAATTATCTTCTAAAGCACAAGAAGAACTAGCCCATGCTTCCCTAACTATGTCCACACTACAAAACTCATTTTGCAAAGCCTGCTCTTTAGCAAAAATAGGATCGAGACCATCCTATGCTAAAGACACAAAACAAAACATCCCATTCTTACAAAGAATTCAAGGAGACATATGTGGACCGATCCATCCAGAATGCAGACCATTTAGATACTTTATGGTTCTGGTGGACGCATCGACCCGTTGGTCGCATGTTACCTTATTGTCCACAAGGAATGCTGCATTTGCAAAACTCCTAGCACAAATAATTCGCTTAAGGGCTCACCACCCCGATCACCCTATAAAGTCCATCAGACTTGATAACGCTGGAGAGTTTACATCAATGACATTTGATGATTATTGCATGTCTATCGGGATCGACATAGAGCATCCTGTTCCCCATGTACACACACAAAATGGTCTCGCAGAAGCTACTATTAAAAGATTATAAACGATAGCTAGGGCATTGGTTATGCGCACCAACTTGCCTATATCTGCATGGGGATATGCAATATTACATGCAGCCTTACTTATTCGCTTGAGGCCCACTGCGAACCAACCATTTTCTGCGTACCAGTTGGTAACTAGATATGAGCCTGACATTTCACACTTACGCATATTTGGTTCTGCAGTCTATGTGTCAATTGCGCCACCACAGCGCACCAAAATGGGCCCTCAAAGGCGATTAGGTATATACGTTGGATACGAATCCCCAACAATAATCCGCTATCTAGAACCTTTGACAGGCGATCTTTTCACCGCAAGATTTGCGGATTGTCACTTCGATGAGACAACATTCCCGTCGTTAGGGGGAGATAAGAAAAAGGATTGTTCCGAAGAATGACATGAATTATCCTGGTGTGTTCCTACACTGTCTCATTTTGATCCCCGCACCTCACACTGTGAAAGTGAAGTGAAAAGAATAATAGACCTGCAAAATGTAGCAGACTCAATGCCTGATGCATTTTCTGATATTGCAAAAGTGACAAGATCACACATACCAGCTGCAAATGTGTCTGCAAGGTTAGAAGTCCCCAAGGGAGGGCACAGTGCCGTAGTAGGAGGCACTACAACCACACTTAATGGAGGTGTGGTTGAGGCCGTGGCTCCTCAAAGGAAGAGAGGAAGACCACTTGGTTCGATTGATACTCGTCCAAGGAAGAAGAGGTCGAGTACGGCACAACCTAATCCATTAATCATCGATGAACAACATCCATCCCATGAGATTATCTCCGATTATAGTTATGTCCATGAATCATTACTGGAGGACGCTCCGATGATCGAGATGATTCAAGAAAACAAGGAAATCTCTATGGATTATGAAAATGCACATGTGCTAATGGAAAGATCTTCCATACACATCGATGATATATTTGCATTTACAGTTGCTCAAGAAATTATAGAGCACGATGATATCGAACCACGCTCTGTGGCAGAATGCCAACAAAGAGCTGATTGGCCTAAATGGAAAGAAGCAATCCAGGTTGAATTAGATTCCCTGACAAAAAGGCAAGTATTTGGTCCGGTAGTGCTAACCCCACCAAGTGTAAAGCCTGTAGGACATAAATGGGTATTTGTCAGAAAGCGTAATGAGAAGAATGAAGTCTTAAGGTACAAGGCTCGCCTAGTGGCGCAAGGTTTCTCACAACGCCCTGGAATTGACTACGAGGAGACCTACTCTCCCGTAATGGACGTTATCACGTTCCGATACCTAGTCAGCTTAGCAGTTTCTGAAGGATTGGAAATGCAATTGATGGATGTGGTTACTGCATATCTCTATGGGGATCTTGATTCGGAGATATATATGAAAGTACCCGACGGACTTTCACTACCTAAATCAAGTGACTCTAAACCACAGAGTGCGTTTGCAATAAAATTGAAACACTCACTTTACGGATTAAAACAATCCGGGCGGATGTGGTATACCCGCCTAAGTGACTACTTGATTAGGAAGGGATACAAGAACGATGAGCTTTGCCCCTGCGTATTCATAAAGAAAACGAGTTCCGGATTTGAAATCGTAGCAGTATATGTCGACGACATGAACATAATTGGCACTCTTGACGAAATAAGAGAAACCGCAAGCTATTCGAAATCCGAGTTTGAGATGAAAGACCTTGGGAAAACTCGATTTTGTCCAGGTCTTGAATTAGAACATCGAGTTTGTGGAGTATTAATCCACCAGTCTGCGTATATCCAAAAGGTACTCAGGCGATTTAACATGGATAAAGCGCACCCTGCTAGCACTCCCATGGTGGGCCGAAGTCTAGATCCTAAAAAGGATCCATTTCTTCCAAAGGAAGATGACGAGGAGGCATTAGGAGCTGAAATTCCATACCTAAGTGCAATAGGCGCATTATTGTACTTAGTACAATGCACTCGGCCCGATATAGCATTCTCAGTGAACTTGTTAGCTAGATTTAGCTCTGCGCCTACGCAGCGTCACTGGAACGGTATCAAGAATATCTTTAGATATCTTAAAGGGACCAGTGACTTGGGACTATTCTTTCCCTACGGAGAGACGAAGAAAACCACAAATGGAATTGAGGTCGCAAAGGACAAAATGGTCTCCCCCCTGAAAACCCCAAATGATGTCTTGGTAGGTTTTGCTGATGCTGGGTACCTCTCCGACCCTCACAAAGGCCGTTCCCAAACTGGCTATGTTTTCACAATCGGGAACACGACGATATCCTGGAGATCAACTAAGCAAATCCTTGTGGCTACCTTCTCGAACCACTCAGAGATCATCGCTCTACATGAGGCGGTCCGTGAGTGTATATGGTTAAGAGCTATCATTGCACACATTCGAGGAACTAGTGGCTTAAAGCTTACCACTGAAGAGCCAACCTGCATCTACGAGGATAATGCAGCCTGTATCGAACAAATGAATTTAGGATACATCAAGGGTGACAATACAAAACACATATCTCCTAAGCTCTTCTACAATCAGCAACAACAGGCCTTCCTCAAGATCCAAGTAAATCAAATAAGTTCTGAAGAAAACGTAGCAGACTTGTTTACCAAGTCATTGCCCAAGGCCACATTCGAAAAACGTGTGAAAAACATTGGAATGTGTAAACTTTCTGAAATCCCCTGATTAATGTAAATATCAAGGGGAGGTGTAGACTTCAGGGGGAGTCTTACACCCTCACGTTATACTCTTTTCCTCAAACCAAGCTTTATTTTTCCCATTGGGTTTTGTTACTTGGAAAGGTTTTTAACGAGGTAACTGTGAGTACCGATCAAGGTAAAGAATCCAAAAGGACTCAATGAACGAAGTTCAATAAACTCTACTCTCTCGTCAATGTTTATTTTTCCCACAGGGTTTTTGTTATTTGACGAAGTTCCTACACGACAACTAGCTTGGTGTGCATCACTCTATCTACAACTCAGCACAAGGGGGAGTGTTGAAGGAAATTACTTTAATGTGCATTCGTTATAGATAGAAAGTGTATCTAGGGATTATATGTATTGAGCTAATTGGCCCATTGGCCCATTCATTGTAAAACCCTAATCCCTCCTATTTAAAGGGGGCCCACTAATGGAATGAAACCACTCTCACTTCCCTACAACAAAATACAATTTTTGATTGCAAAAGAGATGTCATCATCAATGACATCACCGATTTGCTTTCGGGATTGGCGTCTCTGTCACAAATGTGATTATTATTTGACCTCGTAAAAATGTGATTTTTATTTGACACTTATTCTAAACCTTGTCACAAACTAAACCAAATTCAAAATAGATAAAAACAAACCCTGTCAAGCCCAAACTCGGATTCTTTGTTCAGTTTTTGCTTGAAAAAATGACAAATAGGCCGAATTACGTTTCATAATGAATCAATTGAATTCACCTACTTTTTGCGAATCAATTAAGTTCAAAAAGTAACAAAAACAATGAAATAAGCTTTTTCACAAGTAATTACCCAATTAAGTTCACGAAGTCTCAACTGTCATCTTTTAAGAGAAAACAATTTAAATACCTCAAACTTTAATGTGGTGCGATATCAGTACCACAAACTTGTATATGTAATATATATACCCCAGACTTTTATAAAAAGTTATTTTCCCACATAATTGTATGGTTTTTACAAATACAAATTTATTGAATAATTAATATCCGATAAAATTTAATTTTCATTATGTCCTCATAAATGTTTTGTGTATTTTAATTTATGTACTTAATTCGATAAAATTACATCCGTGAAAAAACATACGACGTATGATCATGATGCTAACATATATTTTTATACTACATATAAATTTGTGATATGTATATTATGCTCATTCAAAGTTTGAGTTATTTAAATTGTTATTTTCTTTTTTATTATTTTGGGAAAAGGGGCAAATAAGCCATCGAACTAATAAAAAAAGTGCAAATAAGCCCTTTTGTAGGACATTCCATCCGGTCATCGTCATTTGGGGAGGTTCATGGTGGAATTTTTTGATGAAATATATTGAGCATCTTATTCATTAAGTCTAGTTTAGTCCTACTGAATTTCAGCTAAAAATTCAACCGGGAAGACAGTCAAATGAATTTTTGAAGATAACTGCACAGTTAAACAACACAGTATATTTCCGAAAATCATTTGAGTGCCTTCCCGGTTGAATTTTTAGCTGAAATTCGGTATGGCTAAACTACACTTAATGAAGAAGATGCTCAAAAAAATTCATCAAAAAATTCCACCGAGAACGTCCCCAAATGACGATGATCGGACAGAACCTCTTACAAAAGGGCTTATTTGCACTTTTTTGATTAGTTCGAGGGCTTATTTGTCTCTTTTCCCTATTATATTTTGATTTTTTTTGCTTTTACTTTCCCCTTTTTCTTTTCTCTTTCTTTCTCTTTCTTCCTTGTCCGCTGCTTTCCCGTCTTTACCCAGTCCCTTGCTCTTCTTTGTCCGCCGTCCTCCTCCCGTTAGAACAATCTCCCGCCACCAGCCCACCACCTTTCCTCCATTAAAGCGGTGCCATAACCACCACCTCCGTGCACGGTTTCCACCTCCGTCGCCCTACCTCCATACACACCGCCTCCGTCCACCACATCTGCGGCCTCCACCTCCGCCTCCTCCATTGGAGCAACCTCTCAGGACTAAGGTAATTCTCATTTACGTGAAAACAAGTATAACCCTCCACTCCTTCAACATCTGCGCACTTCTCATCTGCCGCACAATCATCCAGTCTTTCACCTGCCCTAATCTCACATCATCCAGGTTAGTTCTCTCATATCTCATCTCATTTATCTTCCGGCTTGTATGGACACCCTGCATCCACGCGTCTGCCAAGGTTGTTGAATTGTATGGGCTGTTGGGAGAGAACTTATCACAGTAGAAACCAACACATTTGATAATCACCGGATTTGGGGCTAACCCAAAGGATCTAGTGCCCATTTCAACACACACACACAGTCCAAGTTAAAAAAAGTGACTTTATTCATTACTTCAGTTTATATCATTTCACCACTCTATTTGTTGAGTTGAATTGAATTTCTGAAATCTTTAATTTGTTTTTGGGAGTTGCTAGGCTTCTGTAGTAGTTTCCATGACCGGATTGACCGGCCAAACACTTCTGTAGGATATATTTCTAATTTGAAGTGAAAACACTTCCTTTACTAAAATACCATTTTGTAGTTCTTCCAAACAAAGTTAACTTATACTTCACATATACACTTACCTTCCTTCCTTACCCGTGCCTACACTTCCTAACACTTGTTACTAACACCCTTCAGCACCTCATCAAAACATAGCATTAGGTGCTTTCATTTTTTAATCAGTAATGAATTTTAGATAGTCTAAATTCCATATATGAAGCAATACTTTACAATCCCGGTATCTTCCCAAGATGTGTATGAGAGACTACCTAGATCTTATTTTTGCGTTTCATGTAAGCATTCGCTTTGTTATACACACACACATACATATTCTCAATTTTACTATTTTATAAATTCTATCTACAGTAATGAAAAGACTGTTTCAGCTGTGTATATTATGTTTTTAGACTACGTCTTAATCAGTTTTTTTACCATCTATAGTATCTAATAACATCAAATGCTCATATTTATTTTTAATATTATCTTGGAATTTAATAAGAATTCTGCAATTTTGTTTTGTTGTTGCTTAGTCAAAAGATATTTCTTGCAATGCTGGAATGCTTGTGTGGAAAAAGTTTACATTCTTAGTTCAATTTACTGGGTGTGAGGCTGAGAGCATGACCCTTTTTCACATCTCTGTTCTTTGGGTTTGATATAGTTTGAGTTTTGTAATTGGGAATCACAAAAGAGCTACTCCAACGTTCATCTTTTGCAGTACTCTGCACAGCCCCCCTACCAATGTACATTTTGCAGAAAACAAACGAAGACTAAAAACTAAAGTGAATGATAAAAATGTGACACATATAGCAAAAAAAAGCTAGAGACCGTCAAGGCCTTATGGCAAGGCTCTGAGCTACTCCTGCCCGTAAAGAGTCTACATTTATCTATGTGACTCTTAATTCAGCTAGGTAGGCAGTTTTGGCGGGAAAATTGGGATAACACACTTCCTTATTATATGTAGATAAATTTATAAGTGTTTGTGGTGCTTTATTATGAGGTACCTGACATGGTTTGTAAAGAGAAACTATTTAATATTTAAGTTTAATTTTTATATTTGTTAGAAAATTGTTGCTAGTATAGAGAAAGATGGAAAATGCAGAGGATGAATGTCATGTTGCAGGTGGACCCCAAGAGAAACATGAAGATGAGGTATAATTCCAAACACCCTCCCACCATTTTGTGAAATATGGGATCTGGGATTTTCTTGTACTACCTCCATCCCACCAGACTTTGCCAACTTTTCCTTTTTGGTTATTCCAAAAACTTTGCCACTTTCCCTTTAATGTAGCTAACTAATGTGTTTTTATATCATTTCTCTCTCCTATGGACAACAACCACACAATTTTTACTTCCTTATTTCACATGCCGGTCAAACTGGTCAAACTCCAACGGGATGGAGGGGTATATCAATTACTTGTCTTACTAATCTTACTGTGTAGAGTGTAGATATTAGAATCTGATTTGACCTAATGTCTGTTTATTAATATATTTTACATGCACATATTTATGACAATTCAGGAAACCATTACCCGCCTTGAGGAATTCAAGAAATCTATCGAGGCAAAGACGGCTCTCCGCCACAACAATTTCCACCCTGAAAGGCCAGGTTGCTTATATTATTGCACACGGTTGCATGCAGTTAGGAACATACTATAAGTAACTCATTAACTAGTGAAGTAGTGAGCACTTACACAGATACCTCCTTCTCAGTTTCTGCCAAACAGTTACACAGATACCTCTTTTTTGTCTAGCGTCTTCAAAAACACGAATGTGCACCTTTGTTCCATCAAGGTGATGCTTCATTCTTGCAACTCCAACCAAGCAAGTATGAGAACAATGAATTTTACTAAAGGCCTGTGGGGATTAACTTTCACAATGTCTCCATGTTATATCATTTTAAGCATTACCCATTGTGATGAAGAATCACGGTGAGAGATGTAGTTTATGCTGCAGGAGGAAGATAAGACCAGTGCAGATCAGAAGGAGAAGAAAAGACTGAGAGTCTGAGACAAAACAGAGAGGCAAAGCGCGACTCAGAGATATGGATTAGGAGTTGAAAATGTATCTAGACTTTGTAAAGACTGTTGTTGACAATTGGAAACTTACCTCACGTTTTAGGAAAAATGCTACGCAAAATGTCCTAGAAGGAATTTTTATGAAATGGGTTGTGCGACCTGACCCGGAGTCAGACTAACGCTACTTACAAATTGAATCATAGGATTCTGTCGTTGTACTACGGTTTGTGACTTCTCGTGTCTCATTATGAAACACTGCAAACAACTTGGATACAAATCCATGTTATATCATTTTAAGCATTACCCATTGTGATGAAGAATCACGGTGAGAGATGTAGTTTATGCTGCAGGAGGAGGATAAGACCAGAGCAGATCAGAAGGAGAAGAAAAGACTGAGAGTCTGAGACAAAACAGAGAGGCAAAGCGCGAATCAGAGATATGGATTAGGAGTTGAAAATGTATCTAGACTTTGCAAAGACTGTTGTTGACAATTGGAAACTTACCTCACATTTTAGGAAAAATGCTACGCAAAAAGTCCTAGAAGGGATTTTTAAGAAATGGGTTGTGCGACCTGACCCGGAGTCAGACTAATGCTACTTACAAATTGAATCATATGATTCTGTCGTTGCACTACGGTTCTTGACTTCTTGTGTCTCATTATGAAACACTGCAAACAACTTGGATACAAATCCATTTTTATTCAGTCCACAATCTGCATCGCTAGCACTAAATTTTTTGTGGCCTATCATGATATGTATCTAACTGAATTGTACATTACTAACTCTAGATGTTCTCATAGCAGTCATTCATCAATTATCTTCATTTGTTTTGTTCTTCCATCCACCAATTAGGAATCTCTGTATGCTGACTCTTTTGTTCCAATTCTATTAACTGCCAGGGATGAGGGATTTCATTCTCTTTTTAGTGAGAAATCTATCTTGGGTAATCAAGAAATACCCAAACAGGGGATTATTTTACTATACGATATGTTTTTCACATGACTGCTTATCTGTTGGTTCTTCATTTCAGACTCAGGTTTCCTCAGGACACTGGATTCCAGCATTAAACGTAATACTGCAGTCATTAAGAAACTTAAACTGATTAATGAAGAGCTGAAAGAAGGTTTAATGGATGAACTGCGAAGTGTCAACTTAAGTAAATTTGTTAGTGAAGCAGTTTCTGCTATTTGTGATGCCAAACTTCGATCAGTTGACATACAAGCTACTGTTCAGGTAGTTATTGTCTTGAGCTTTATATTGCAGAAGTATCATGGACTGAGATTTAGCGTAACTGTTTCTGATAACATTATTTTTCTTCTCTCTCAAAATTCCCAATGGAAACAAGGTGCTAATATTTTGAAGTCTATTTAGTCATTTATACCACTCTAGGTTCGATGCAATTAATAATCTTTTCTATCCTCAGATATCTAATGTTTATGAGGCATTCAAGGCTCAGGGTTATCTCTTTCTGTACTCTATAAATCTGATATTCAGGAACATTAGCAAACCCTGAATACTGCTTAGTCTACCGTGGCTTTCTTCATCTACATTTTGGTGATTTTGGATGTTTTTACTTGGACTGTAATTTGCTGGTCTGGTCTGATCTGATCTGGTCTGGTCTGGTCTGAACTGGTCTGGTCTGGTCTGGTAAGGTCTGGTTTCTTTGTATTTTTGTAACTATCCAAGTCTGGTCTGGTCTGGTCTGAACTGGTCTGGTCTGGACTGGACTGGTCTGGTCTGGTCTGGGGCAAATTACAGTCCAAGTAAAAACATCCTTTCTCTTTGATTGCTGATACGGAGCTTCAGCATTAATTTTTCTGTCAAACCAAACAATGAAAGCATATTATTAACCAAACCCTGTAACTGAATTATCTTTTGGAAGTAACATGCCAAAACCCTGATGGCTTCCCATTGCATAGGACTATTATATACTCTACATTTTTCAGCTGTTATTCAAGTGGTCTTTCACTCTTTTGAAGAACCGATATAGATGGGATCACTATTCTTCAGTTCTTGACTGGGAGATGCTCCTGAAACTATGAAATGCTTTCATTGTGAAAAGGGAAATAATATGTTTTTTTGTTCGCCTTTCTGTAATGATTTGCCTTGTCATTTAACTAATATTTTTTCCTTCTAGATCTGCTCTTTGTTACATCAGCGGTACACAGATTTCTCACCAAGCCTAGTTCAAGGCCTCATGAAAGTGTTCTTTCCTGGGAAATCTGCCGATGACTTAGAACTGGACAGGAATGCAAGGGCTATAAAGAAGCGCAGCACATTGAAACTTCTCTTGGAACTTTACTTTGTCGGAGTTATAGAAGATTGTAGCATATTTGTGAACATTATTAAGGATCTAACTAGCATAGAGCACCTGAAGGACCGTGATGCTACACAGACAAATTTGTCCCTTCTTACAAGTTTTGCTCGGCAAGGGAGATATCTTCTTGGTCTTCAACTGACAGATCAAGATATTTTTGAAGAGGTGGATCCTTTCAAGTGAACTTCGTAGTAGAGTTGTGCATTAAGCTTTCTTTATATGCAGAAGTTCACTATAGATTATTATTAATACACTTTGAGCCTTTCTTTTTTAGTTGATTGCTCAAAATTGTTGTGTCAATGATTTTTAAGTTGGCAAGCATTTGAGTTGGCAGCATTTTGGACTGTTAAAAGTAGAGAAGCATAACCAAAGTGATGTCAGTTTGCTGCCGCTCCCATTGAAATAATGAGTTAGTTCTTGGATAAGTAGCCCACTTTTGTCTGATTATGAATTCTGTTATTCCAAATATGGACTTTCTGCTTTTAGTAAAATCATAGTGTTTTCGACTTGTGGGTTCTCATTATCTAACACCATAATCCGTGTTTAGTCATAATTTCATTTTCGGTTAATATGTTGCAGTTTTTCAAAGGCCTCAGTGTCACAACAGAGTTGAAAAGGATCTTCAGAAAGGCATTTCAAACATATTATGATGCAGCTGTTGAACTTCTTCGGTCAGAGCATGCTGTAAGGGTTGATTTTTTTTAAAATACTTTCTGGTGCTAGCTCATCTTTTTATCTTTCTTATCTTTCTTTCCCTTTTGGGAGCGATATCATGTATCGATTCATGTTACCCGACCCCAAAATCTTTTGGGACTAAGGCTTGGTTGTTGTTGCTTTTATTCCCCAATAAAATTCACCCAGTCATATATTATTGTTATAATTGATGGACATGTTTCCCCCACTTAAATCCAATAACAGTTGCTTCGTCAAATGGAGCATGAAAATGCAAAAATTTTGGCTGCTAAAGGTGAACTCAACGAGGAAAGTGCATCCTCATATGAAAAGCTGCGGAAAGCTTATGACCAGCTGTACCGTGGTGTCTCAGCGTAAGTTACTTGATAATCCTGTATTCCAAACTTTTCATGTAAACCTATTGAAGTACTTAAGTCACCTCATGGTAGGAGGCTGCCACCAATATTCCATTCAGTGGTTTGGGGTCTAGGCATCAATTGTAACGTAGTGCAAATGCTAGGCTGCTTACAATTTTTTCTCTTCAAGATATAAAGCCCATTTCTTGTTCAAGTGAGGGTTGATATAAAGGCTATAGCTAATCAGTTGACATTGTCTACTCAATCGAAATGTATAACATGAATAGTATTGTTGAACAGTATCATATTTTGCAAAATGAATGTGTTACTTGCCGGGTAGGTTGTATATGCATATGAATGCTGATATTTAGCTGTGGAACTACACGTACTCTATTTCTGGTCTGTATGTTGCAGAAATTTTAAAAGTTCTTGAATGGATTATAATTACTTTTGGTTTGAGTAGACTATTCTTTTTGTGACGAATGAAAAATTTCGTGCTGATTCAATTTCTATAAATATAGGATACTGCCTTATGAGACTTAGATGTTTGCTTCATATTTTGTATTTAGGAATCTCACATTACCTAAGGTAATATCATATGCTGATGTTCGGTTCACATGTGAACACAAGATTCCAGAATGTAACGTGAGATTCCAAAAGATGACTTTTAGTTCACTTTTGCTCAATTCTCTTGTATCATGAAATTGTGCTATCAGGGGATCTGATAACACGATCCAAACACCCTCCTGCGCTAAAGTTGGACCTTTTTCTGATTTTCAGCTCCTTGCTTTTTTAATTTTTCCTGTATTCATTTCACGCACACACTTCTAAGTTTCCAGAATGTAATGTGAGACTCCAAAAAATGGCTATTAGTTCACTTTTGCTCACGTTCCCTTGTACCCCTTCCTATATTCGTAAGAAATGTGAGATTCCATAAAATTTGCTATCAGGGGGATCTAGCTATAGTTGGAGCTTTTTCTCATTTTCAGCTCCTTGTGCTTTTCATTTTTTCATGAATTCATTTCATGGAACACTCTTCTACTTGTCACTCTTATGGAATATTTTCTCATTTTTAAGTTACGCATAGGCTTCTACACATTTTCCTTAGATATGCTAATGGTTTAACTTCTGTTATGTACAATGTTGCAGTTTATCAGAATCACTGGACATGCAACCTCCTGTGATGCCCGAGGATGGTCATACAACCAGGGTAACATCAGTGGAAGACATATCATCTCCAGGTGGTGGTGTTAAAGATTCTTCCATTGAAGCCCTGTGGGACGATGAGGATACAAGGGCTTTCTACGAGTGTCTCCCAGATCTCAGGTTTTTTTTTTCCATTGGAAGTATTCACACAAAAATTTGGTATGCCGTATGTGGTTCCTCAGGTAGTGCTTTTCATCACATGAGCCACATGGATATTTTTTTCTAGGGCATTTGTCCCTGCTGTCTTATTGGGAGAAACTGAATCAAAATTGAGTGAGCAAGCTCCAAAGGCTCAAGAACAACTCACTGTAAGCAGTTGGGTCTACTTATGCATATTAAATTTATTGGTTTGTTACGCTTACATAGTGTGAATGTACTCAAGAAACCCCAAAACTAATGTTCAAATTTGAGAACTAAGGGTGCTCATTGAGAATCTCTGTCATTTCTTTGCTCTAAGATTATAAAAATTACTTCCTCCATTCCTAACATATGTAATATGTCCCAATAGGGGTTTCACACATATACTGTGCACTTTTCTTGTTTTGGAGGACTGAACAATAATACTGTGCACTTTCATTTTTTTCAATTCTTCTTCATGTTGACTGACTGGTTTTATGAAATAATGTAATTTTTGTATTTCATTATGTATGCATTTATTCAAATGTGGAAATTTTAATCTTTTTCCTTATATTGCGAAGGATTTGACATCAGATTCAGATCAAGGTCAGAGCCAGATATCTACAAAAAACAGTGCAGAGTGTTCTCAAGATTCTGGAGTGATTGCAGAGGATAAGAGTGATATAATTAAGGATAAAGATGAAAAAGATAAAGAAAAGAACAAGGAAGCAGACAAAGATAAAGGGAAAGAAAAGGAGTCAGAAAGAAAAGTAGATAGTGAAAAGGATAAAGTTAAAGGTCTTGAAGGGGCCAATTTAGAAGGTTTATTCCAGAGGCTTCCGGGTTGTGTGAGCCGTGATTTGATAGACCAGCTAACTGTTAGTGAATGTTTTGCTCAGTGTTTAATCATACATTTTTATGTTTCATTTGATTGCTGAGTCTGTCCCTTGCTTCTGACTTCATTCCTATTTTGTGTTGCTTTTTAATTTATACAGGTTGAATTTTGCTACCTGAATTCTAAATCTAACAGAAAGAAGCTTGTGAGGGCTCTGTACAATGTTCCGAGAACTTCTCTCGAGTTGTTGCCATACTATTCTCGTATGGTTGCTACTCTGTCAACTTGCATGAAGGATGTGCCTTCGATGCTTTTACAGTTGTTAGAGGAAGAGTTCAACAGTTTGATAAATAAGAAGGTAACGACGTTGTGAACTGCTTTAATAGACACCAATGCATAGCAATCTTGAATGCTCTAAATGTGTTGCTTATCATGTGCAGGATCAAATAAACATTGAAAGCAAAATAAGGAACATTCGTTTTATTGGAGAACTCTGCAAGTTCAAAATTGCAGCTTCTGGTCTCGTTTTCAGTTGTCTAAAGGTCCTCGCTTCCGGCAACTTTTTGCACTCTCACTCCCTTATTTTCCTTTTCTAGGGGCATGCCCAAATACATCCTGTTATTTCTTTGTAGATATGAGATACACGTCCATACTGTCTGTTTGTTGGTGTATTGTTTTCCATAAATAGGGTTCAAAGTTAAATTTTGAAGTCACGTTTAGATAGTATTATCTTCATTATTGCTAGCTCCTTCACATAACTGACAGAAGAGTTGTTATATATCCCCTCCAGACTTGTTTGGATGATTTCACACATCACAATATCGACATTGCTTGCAATCTTCTGGAAACATGTGGTCGTTTTCTCTACCGTTCCCCTGAGACCACAATCCGCATGGCTAACATGCTCGATATACTGATGCGCTTGAAGAACGTTAAAAATTTGGATCCTCGGCACATCACTTTAGTGGAGAATGCATATTACTTGTGCAAGCCTCCTGAAAGGTCTGCACGAGTATCTAAGGTTCGCCCTCCTTTGCATCAGGTATAGTTGATTAACTTATACACTCAAGTTTCAAACTTTTTGCAATCTGTACTGGCTACTTGGCAAGTTTATAATTAACATTTTTTCATTTGGAGAGCTTTTGCAGTATATAAGAAAACTCCTTTTCTCGGATCTAGATAAAACTTCCATAGAGCATGTACTAAGACAACTTCGGAAACTTCCGTGGAGTGAATGTGAGTCGTACCTTTTGAAGTGCTTTCTGAAGGTGCATAGGGGAAAGTATGGTCAGATTCACCTGATTGCTTCTCTTACTGCTGGTTTGAGCCGGTATCATGACGATTTTGCTGTTGCGGTTGTTGATGAGGTTAAATGTTGTATCCTATGTTAACCTTTCTATGTTTAATTTATTACTACCCATTCCAGGCTCCCATAAGATCCCACTGGCTATAATAAAGAAATTGCAATGGAAATAAAAAGCTGGGGGAAATTAACATCTATTCAGACTCGATAAATCATAAATGTATTTTATAGAGTATATTTGTTCAGTAATGTGCTATTTATTTATTCTATTATGTATAAAGTCTTCGATTACTAAATTTAAAAAACATTAATCATTTTCATCCCTTGCATTTTCTGAAGTAAAGCCAAACATAAGAGAGTAACTTTTCTTTGCATTTACCTCCTTCCCTGGTTTTCTTGAGGACCCAAGAAAAATGCTAAGTCACTATGATTTTCCGTAATTTTCTTCTGTTTTACTTCACTGAGGTTATTTCAATGTTCTAAGTGGTTTACTCTTCACAAATACTATGAATTTGTTTTTCTGGTGACTGTTTACTGATAATACTGTGCTTGGTTCTCATGTAAAAAACTTTTGTAGTACAAAATCAGTGTCATTGATTAAGTTGTGCGTGTGGCAGGATATGAAAAACTTGATTTTGATAAATGTTGTACTTGAAAACTGATGGAAAAAGTTGTACTTATAGGTGTTAGAGGAGATCAGAGTGGGGTTAGAGTTGAATGACTATGGGATGCAACAAAGGCGCATTGCTCACATGCGGTTTTTAGGAGAACTGTATAACTATGAAATTATAGACTCTTCGGTCATTTTTGATACACTCTATCTGATTCTAGTTTTTGGCCATGGAACAGCAGAGGTATGGATCCACATCTACTCTTGCATATTTACTTAGCAGTTCCAATTATAATTACCCTCAATCCTCATTTTTTCCCATACCCACCAATGTGTATAATTCAGTAATGCTTTTGAAATGCTAGTTAGTGTAGTAGAGATAAACTGTACTCCTGTCACCATTTGTTTTCCCACATTAGGTTTGGCACGGTTCTAGGAATGTGGGTCATCCTAGTGGAGAGTGGATTAAGTAGTAAAGTGTAGAAAAAAAGGAAAGTTAACTGCACATTTTTACTAAAAATGGAAAGTGAAAGAACTTTTGGAGACAGACAGAAAAGGAGAGGAAGATCATTTATAGATGGAGGTAGTATTTGATTTGTAAAGTCTTAGTTGAACTGCAAATCATGCTGTATTTACTCTCCTTTTTCTTCCAAGCTATTTTAGCCCTATGATTTCAGTATGGCATGGAAATATTTTCTAGAGTATCTTTTGGGCAAATTTTACTTTCTAGAAGTATTTTTTGTTATTCCATCCATCACCCAAAATAAAGTTGCTATTTTGATTTCCGGAGTCAACCTTTGTTAACTCAGACCATCATAATTAAAAACTAAAATTAATAAACTTTTGAACAATATGTTTATATATATAATACTGAAACAATAATTATAGATATATCATATATAAGTATATGATTATAAACAATAATAGTCAAGATTGACTTGAAGACGGGAAAATCAAAGTGGCAAATTAATTATGGGACAAACGGGGTAACATGAATCATGGTCATACATCCATTCTGAATGGATGTATGACAACTATGTATCTGCTTTTGATGACTCACATTCATATGATGGCACCAGCAAGACAAACTGGATCCGGTGGAGGATTGTTTCCGTATCAGAATGGTCATTACTCTTCTTGAAACCTGCGGACACTACTTTGATCGAGGTTCTTCAAAGAGGAAACTCGATCGGTTCCTCATTCATTTCCAAAGATACATATTGAGCAAAGGAATGCTGCCCCTGGATATCGAGTTTGATTTGCAGGTCATTTTCAAATTTCCATTTTCTTTTTTACCATATTTGACTTGTGATTTTTTAACCATTGTCTGATTTATCTTGCACAATGAAGGAAGCTTAAGATGTATACGTTTTTGAAAATTATATATGCATTTTGTAGGACTTGTTTGCTGAATTGCGCCCCAAAATGATTCGATATGCCTCGATTGATGAAGTCAATGCGGCAATCCTTGAACTCGATGAACATGAACAAGCGGTTTCAACTGAAAAGGCCAATGCTGAAAAGCATCTTGATACAAAACTTGAAAACCCAGTCAATGGAGGACAAAACCTTGCAAATAAAATTATTGAAGAAAATGGTGAACCACATGAGGATATTATTCCGGGAGATAGTGAAAGTGATTCAGACAGTGAGCATCGGGGGCGTGATGATGATGAATTTGACGAAGAGAATCATGATGATGTGTCGGAGACCGATGACGAGTATAATGATGTGGGCAGGCCACCGGCTTCAGATGAAGAAGATGAGGTACATGTTAGGTCATCAAAGGTTGCTGAAGTGGATCCCCAGGAGGAGGCTGACTTCGAACGTGAGCTCAGGGCTTTACTGCAGGAGAGTTTGGATTCACGAAAACTGGAGCTGCGTGCAAGACCGACAATCAACATGGTAATACCGATGAATGCATTCGAGGGGCCCACAGCCAAGGATGAAGAAGATGAGACATTGGTGGACGAGGAAGCTGGAGCAGGAAAAGAGGTCAGGGTTAAGGTCCTTGTGAAACGGGGAAACAAACAACAGACAAAACAGATGTACATCCCCCGTGATTGCTCCATCATACAGAGCTCGAAGCAGAAAGAAGCAGCCGAGCTTGAAGAGAAACAAGACATCAAGAGGCTGGTCTTGGAATATAATGACAGAGAGGAAGAGGAGCTTGTTAGTGGGGTCCATGGGAACCAACATCAGAGCTGGTCTCAAAGCGGCGGTGGCAGTGGTAGAGGCTCAAGTCGTGGCAATGCATGGAATGGTGGGCCACGTCATCGCTATCTGCAACACTCTGGGGGTGGGTTGTATTATGGTAGAAGAAGATGAAATTGTTAACTTTGCCCTCAATATTATTAATATTTGCAGACAAATCATTTTGTTTGCTAAACTAGTAAAGTAGCTGGAAATGTGTATCAGAGTTGTAAATAATAGAGTATCAACCATCAAGTACGGAGTATTTCTTAAGCAAGAAAAAAATTAAAAAATAGCTTCATTAGAACAAGTTCCAAATGGTCTCATGGAATGGAAACTAGACTGGAACTCTGGAACCGGAAGGGTTTTTGATTCGCCATTTCGCACCAATCAAACTAGACACCGTATAAGGTGTCTGCCGCGACCGTGCTGGATTAGGTCACTGGCGATGGCTGTTTTAGATGTGGTGTTTGATGATGGCAATTTCAGATGCGGTGGCAGCAGAGGATGTAAAGACCATGAAAGACTTAGCGGCACCAGAGGGTGACAATGATGAAGATGATGGCAGTGGTGGAGAACACGGCAGCGTCGGATGAGGACTCGTCTGAGAGTGCTGGTGTCGCTGGAGATGGCGGTGATAGCGTTAGAGTGGATGCCATTGTGCACCAGATTTGGTGGCATCATACGATTCATACTATCGCCGAATATTAGTTTTCATTATTAAGTTTGTTTTAGTATTTTGTTTTATAATTTTAATTATCAATAAGGAAATCAGTTTTTTCTTCAAGGGTTTTCTTGTTAACTCGGGTTTTCTTACTTCTATGAAAGATTGAAGTCCTTTTATATTATTATTCGAATGATTCACGTTCAATGTGAAATTCTATCTTTGTTAACCAATAATCCAAGTATTGAATATTGGACAGCGATGATAACTAGTGTTAAAAAGATTATAGGACGAAAAATTGGAGAAGTTAAACATCAAACTTGTAGGATCACCACTCCTAACAAATTAAAATGTTTGGATGGTGGTGGACTATTGTTATTCCATATGTTCCACTTATTTTAATTTGTGTTATCCTTTTTTATCTATCTTATTAAGTTTATCCAGTAACATATTTATTAAGTTTTATAGACCGAAACCTTTGTGAAGTATTATAGAAATCACATATAAAAATTAAGGGAAAGTTCCCGAAATAGGACTAAAAAAGTTTGAAAATTCCAAAATAGGACTGTCATTTTTTTATTCCCAAAATAAGAGTAATTACTGCCAAGTTTAGAAAATACTGTCATGTTTGAAGTCTGATACTGTCAAAACATGTCAGTAATTAGTCCTATTTTGGGAATAAAAACGTGACAGTCCTATTTTGGAATTTTCAAACTCTTTTAGTCCTATTTCAGGTAATATCTCAAAAATTAAACATTTGGGTCAAAAAAATAAATAAAATAAAAACAAAATTTAAACATTTGGGTCATATTTGAATTATCTTAAAAAAAACACCCTCACTAGATATTAATAGCGCTTAACATAGTTAGAGTTTAGCCAAAAATATTTTTTATTTACAGTCATGTATGTGTAAACTCCGTCATGAGATCATTTTTTTGGTATCATGTCTGTCCCAAGCCAAGATAAAGGAGGCGGGTGACAGCCAACAGTATTACTTGGTCTGACCGTATGCGACGCGTCATCCCTCTGCCTGGGGTGGTGTCAAATATGTAAGGGCGCGCTACACTTCATAGACCTGGGTGTAGTGATAAGAATGCTAAGGCTGTTAGGTCCTCACCCGGAAGCGACGCGTCACTCCAATGTCCGGGGATGGTGTCAAATATGCAAGGGCACAGTGGGAGTCGATGTGGTGTGAAGAAGAAAAGGCAGGGTGCTAGATTTCGTTTTGGGACATGGAATGTTTGCTCGCTTATGGGAAGATCATTTGAGATAACTGACGTTATGAAAAGGAGGAATGTCAGCATAATGTGCATGCAAGAAACTAAGTGGGTTGGAGAAAAGACACATGAGATCAATCTCGGAGGTTTTAAGTTGAGGGTATTCGGGGAGAGAAAGGAACAGAAATGGAGTAGACATTATGGTGGCACATGATTATGTCAAGGGTGTGGTGGAAGTCTTCAGGAAGAACGACCGCATCATGAGCATTAAGTTGATAATAGGAGATGAGATCGTGTCAGTGGTAAGTGCCGATGCACCACGAGTGAGATTGGATGCATCTATCACTCAACAATTTTGGGAGGATCTTGAGGAGGTGGTGCGACGAGTGCCAAGGGAAGAGAAGCTGTTCATAGGAGGCGACCTCAACGGGCATGTGGGCTCGAGTCGTGATGGTTTTGAGAGTATCCATGGAGGACATGGTTTTGGCACTAGAAATGAAGCGGGGAAGAACATTATGGATTTTGCCTCGACATATGAGTTGGCTGTGATGAACACTTGGTTCAAGAAAAGAGACTCTCACCTTGTGACCTATAGAAGTGGAGCTAATAGTACCCAAATTGACTACTTTTTGGTATGGATGACTTGGAGAACTAACTACACTGATTGTAAGGTTATCCTAGGTGAGAGTGCTGTCACTCAACAAAGGATGCTTGTGCTTGATTTTCAAGGTAAAACGAGAAGGAGGGTTAATGTACAAGGGGAGCCAAAGATAAAGTAATGGAAGCTAGAGGGGAATCTCCAATAATCTTTTACACAGAAAATGTTGGAGGAAGATGTTTGGTCCATTGATAATGACACACATGTGGATGAAGTGTGGTTATCAATGAAGTCCACCTTTAACAAAGTGGCGAAAGAGATACTTGAAGAATCTAAAGGATGCCTACCACAAAAAAAGGACACATCTTGGTGGAATGATGAGGTGAAACAAGCAATAAGGATCAAAAGGGAATGCTATAAGAAATTGGGCAAAAGTTGGAGCGACGAGAACATAGAGGAGTACAAGGAGGCTAGAAGAAGAGCAAAGAAAGCTGTAAAGGAAGCAAGAGGAAAATGAACAAGGAATTGTATGCAAAATTGGACTCTATGGAAGGAGGAAAAGATATTTACAGACTTGCTCGTCTTCATGACCGTATGACTCAAGATATAGGAAAAGTTAAGTGTGTGAAGGATGTCGATCAAAGGGTACTAATGGAGGACGGGGAGATAAAAGAGAGGTGGATGTCTTACTTTGATACACTTTTCAACGGGAACAAAACGCAAGATATCGGTGATTTGACCATACCAGATTGTATGGTAAATCGTAATTTTGTGAGAAGAATCCAAACAACGGGAGTTAAGGAGGCTCTGAGGAAGACGAGGCGGAATAAAGCAGTGGGACCAGATGGCATACCGATCGAGGCTTGGAGAAGTTTGGGAGAGACAGACATTGAGTTGTTAACAAGTTTCTTCAAAATGATTTGGAGAAAAACATGATG